GTCTCTCTCTCTCTCCCGCTCGTTTTGTACGAACTTTTGTAAATATACTTTTGTACGAAAGAGCGTGATAGAGAGATCGTGAGAGAGCGATATAGGGAGCGGGGACAGAGATATAGAGTGAGCGCGTAAGAATGGTATATAGAGACGAATGCTCTCTATATATATATATATTGTGACGTTATGGGATTGTGCAACACCATAACACCACCGTCTCATATGTGTGAACACTACGGAGGCAGCAAGGATAACAGGCGCAGAAAACAGAGGTTCGTAAACGCGCGGCCTGGTATCCGTTGCCCGTACTAAACGAAGGCAAACTAGCAAGCAATGTTTTCCTTGTGAAGGGTTGAGAGAGGGGAAGCAGCCCCACCACTGAGAACTTCCCCAGGCGCCGCGTGATAAATACGCGAACCCGCAAGCTGAAGCCCTCTTTTACCACCGAACGCCGAGCCAGTAGCATTTTGATCATCGCTCGCCGAGCCAAAACTTTCGTTAAAATTAGCTTAGATATTGTTTGCCGCTGCAACGACTACTAGGTAGGAGTATACGGCGTCGAACAGACGTTCTAGTTAGTCGTCCGCGAAATAGTGTAGATTCAGTAAAGTATTTTTGTAGGTGTTGTAGGTAATCGTGGGCAAACCATTTTTCTAGTCTTACAAGATTACTTCAAAATTAAATATCAGTGTTATATTAAATAAATAAGACATTATTACAATTGAAAATGTGTATTGTGTACATATTACAACAAAAAAACCGACCCGACCGTACCTTTTACTTCATCACAAACTACTGTACCGATTGAGGGTTAAACCTTAATTTAGAATATCTGTATGAATGTAAATTGCAGAAGTCCTCTTCAGTATTCATGTTTAACGATAAATGAATACTAGAGGAATGCTTCACAGTGCATGGGTGTGGTTAAAGTCAAGTAATCCAAACTGTTGGTAAATTTGTAAGCAAGTGAAAAAAAAAACTATACTAAAAAAATTCTTCCTATGAATACAGATTTATATAGTTTAACCCATTAACTAGAAATTAAACAAATCTTATTTTTTTAAATTTTATTTAATTTTTAATGACATGTCTTCTTTTGCTGTAGCAATTAACTTTGAGCTAACCAATGAATTCACTACGCACTTTACAGACTTTCACTGATACTTTACATTTTTCTTGTGAAGCCTTTACTGCGTATTCAATGAAATACAACTGACGATTTCGGACAATTGAAACAGAGGTTAGCAGTAGCATTCATATAGCACTAATCAAACTGTAATCAAATCAGCTGACAAACACGGCGATAATAGCTTCATGGAAATACAGTTAGCAGCACACACTACCGCCGCAGTCGGGAACAAATTACATACAAAATGGCGGAATGATCGATTACCATGCGATATGAGTCGCCCGCTAAATCCGGCGAAATAGCGGGGCTTGGCGGGCCCCACCTAACACGATCGAGTTCGATTTCGAGTTGACGCATGCACAGACTCAAAAATTCAGCCGATTGCGTCCCGCTAAGGCTGGCATGCACTCCGTCACCAAACGCTGACTCATAATTGACGTTCCACTCCGCTAAAGCCTTTACGACGCTGGCTCCGCTCCGGTGCGAACGGACCCGCGAATTTCGTCGACGCGTTTATTGGTTGTAAATCATATTTTACGGTGTCATCCAATCGTGAGCTGGAACGTCACCGCGATGACGTCTGTGTGGTAACGTTTTTACAATTGGATGAGTCCGTCAACAGCTGATTTACGTCATGCGCCACGTTAAAAAATTAAAATTGAAAACTAAGTACAGCACGGAAGTTTCCGCACCGCACCCGCTGCGGATGTTCCGCGCAGGTCTGTGGAAGCCTTCAACAATGAAAACGGACCTATACCACCTTTATAAGAGAATTTCATCCTATTAACAGAAATTTAAAGAAAAAATTTGGGTTGAAGACTAGTATACGGTGCAACTTACGGAAGTCATTTAAGTTGACGCTTCCTGTACCCTACTTTAACCAAAATTTTGAATATTTTTGAGAAAAATTTGAAAAGGTCTACGTGGCTTAACCGTAGACGTTCAATACATTGAAATCCAATTGGTTCAGGCAAAACCAACGTTCCAGCTTACGCTCGTCATGGGGAATGCTTGTTTTTACGTGTAAATTTTACTGCTATGTTTACGGCATAACGTTACGTTTGCAACGTAAATGAGGCCTTGCACATTAACCTCAGCCGAGAATTGCACAATGTTGCAGTCACTGGAATGAGACGGGTGCCAGAAAGAGTTTTTTCCATAGGTAACCAATATAAACAGAATCAATTTATCAACGAACGAGTTACGAGAACACGAGTAATGTGGAAGGAACCTTTAGTAAATAATCTGCAGCATTAAAATTCGAAATATTTGGTAGCATTACATGTTTTTTGAGACTTGAATGCGGCCAGAGTTCAAACAGGGACGGACATTACACTGAAATAACTTAACACTGTAACATGACAGTAGTAGGAGTGTGTAATGTTTGATTAAATTCATCTTAGGTGCTACTAATGTGCGTTAGCAAACTCTGCTGAAGGTGCGTGTGACCAACACCACCTAGATGGTGTTGTGCAATAGTGGAATCTTTCAGAAATTAGATATGTATTGCCAATGGAAAAATAAGAAAAGCATATTCAAAGCCGAGCAACTTAACAGAAAACATGAAAAATGCAGTCTCCGAGTTTGTGCAGAACTATAGTATATCTTCGTGGTCACTTACTTCGCATTTGTAAGTATTGCTTTCTTAGGCGGCCATCTTGAATGACTGCTAAGGCCTTGTATAGGTGGTGTTTGTGTAACCGAAATGTCAAGACGCGTCCGGTAATAATTTACTTCGTAACAATTCACTGTCCCGAACGATCATAGTTGAGAAAGCCGCTACATTGACAGCATCATCAACGTTCAACTATTCCACTAGCACGCATAGGTTAATTTACTTATCGTTAATCAGCAAATCTATTTGATGAATCTACACTGAATTAAAACATTATGGATTAAAAAATGTTATTTTGATTTTACTTTTCGCTTGTACGTGGCGGAGATTTTTCCCATTACATTTTTGTTTTGACAATATATATATATATAACATGTTCTCGGTTATTTGGCCATCGTAAATGCGTCAATATTATGACGTACTAACCTCCCACAAAATTTCAATAGAAATCATTCCGAACTTACCAATGTGCTACTTGTGGTCGACAGAAGACCGCAACGACGAAGGCACGTGATGTTGAAAAAAAAAAGTATTACAAGACGACCAAAGACGACACTTCGCTTAAATAGCTCAACGTTCTCAATACACCACTGTACTTGATGCTTCACACATTCAGAAGGAAATCTTGACTGTTCGGAGCAATACTCTTAGGCGAAGCGGGACGAAACACGCGAACTTCACTAACTTTCCTTACTTTCCTGACTTTGACATTGACACTGACCAGAACAGGGAACCGCCGGAGCCAAAATGGCCTCTCACACTTCCATCGTGAAGTCATGAGTACACCACCACGACATCTACTCCAGGAGAGGGAAACTAACATGGCGGGAAACTTGAATTTAAATCCTTTTGCGAATTTTTCTGCGATGTATGTTTGAAATATGTTCTTAAAATGATGAATGTCTTTAATTGAGCATTTACTTAACACTTAACTTGACCTAACTACCACAAAGAGCGTATTTATACTGTAAAATATATTAGACACACCAAACTATAAAATTCAACTCGATATTTTTTTTTATCGCTTTTGAGTTGTATTCGCAAGTATTGTATACTCCAATGAAAGCGATTACCATGGAATTATTAACTAATCCATGATCAAAAACAAATCTTAATTTTAATACGATATTTTAATTACTTAACCGAATTTTCGTATGTTTATCTAGCTTTACACTGAAGAAGAAACAAAAGCAAACTTGTTTTGGAGTGAGCAAAGTAGAATAGAACGACTTTTAACTGTTAAGAACAACTTTTACTATCATCAGAACAAAGTCAACTCATGAAACCTTCCATCAGCAAATACTTAATCTTACACGAATTCATGGTTCTGAAGCATTACGTTGTATTTACCACGTTTAATAAGACCAATCTTTATAATCAAAGCTACTGGTACCTTCTTGTCATGAATGTGGATTGACACTAGTGAGTTCATTTCACTGTATCCAAAGTGACTGTCATGAGCTTGCATACAAGAGGGAGGGAGACAGAGAATATTCCAAAAAGGTTCCCATAGCCCTACATTGTAAAATATGTTTTTCCCGTAAATATGACCACTTCATTTTTACCCTTTAGGAATTCATATACCTTTAGGAAGAAGGCTCTCCAATCTATTTGACAACCTTATATATGATTCAATAAAAAATCATTGTATGTATTATTTCTTTTATCATTTAAATTACAATTTCATTCTCCTTGTAATATGTTGTATTTACTTCCTTGCAAAATATCATTTTTGATGGAAAACTAGGTCACGAAATGTTTTTCACCCCCCCTTCTCATTGGCTGTCCAGTGACTGTATTTATTGTTCTTATTGCATATAATCACAAATCATATATACACAAATCATAAAAGAATATGATTAAATTAATTTATAATAATTTTTTCTGAAGAAAAATCCACTAAGCCTGCTTATCTTAACCCTGCTTAATAGTTACTAGTACAATCTTTTAAAAATTATGTTTAGAAATTACAAAATATTCTTCATGAGTTGCAATACTCAAAAATTAGAATTTTGAGTTATGTGACGTTTTTATTATAACTTTTGGTGATAGAACTACTTTAAAAGCTTTTAGTTTAGATTCCTTCACAATCCAATCCAATTATTAAGGATGAAGTATTTGCATTCCAGTGCCCAGCAAAAATCTCGAAATTTCAGTTTTTGAGTTGTGTCAGTATTGTAGTTTATGAACAATACAAGTACTGTCAATAAAAATTGGTCCTTTATGGATGGACAATGAGAATTAAGAAAATGGTTCAAAAGATGTAGTAAAGGTGTTGTCATTGGTGAATTGGAGTTTCTAACACACGTCCAGTTTTTAATGATTATAATCATGCAAATAATTAAAAACCCTATAAGGGAAGGATTTTGTCCAATTTTTTTTCCAAAGTTAATGGAATTATTGTATTGTTTTTTTTACTCTTGTTACTATTACATAAGATATTTATGTTTTATAATTCAATTAATTTAATATTGATACTTTTATAGCAATCATGTGATTCGATTTTCATAGAAATAATTGATTCTGTGATAGACATTTCATTTGGTGTAAGTAATGATAATATTTATCATTTTAAACAAATATCTAGTAGACTGATAATTAGGGAGGAGATGATTGCGTTTTTCATCAGTTGCAAGTAATAACTCATATTTTACCTTTTTATGTAATTTTTCATGCATTTTTCTCTGATTTCATCGATTTTAATATCATTTTAAAGGTAATTGCTTCAAACTGTATTTACGAGGTGCACCAAATGTTCACCGCAGAATTCCTGAGTAGCCTATTCGATTTCTTTGCTCCAATATTGTGAGTACCATGTAATTTAAGATTCCTGTGACACCTATCACCGCCATTGTCAGATTGGTCAACTTCATGATAAATAAAGGCAGAGATTTTCTTTTACAGTCCAAACCAAAAGTTTGCAAGCCAAATTCACTTGAACAAAATGACAAAATTCGATGACATCAGTATCATATCCAACAGCTTAAGTTGTTCATCTGAAGTGGTTTTGATAAATTTTTAACATAATTTTTCTTTGTTTTGGAGGCATTTTAAAGGCATTTTAATAGCATTTTATTGAACATTTTTGGCAATGTTTTAGGTCCTCAAAATCCGCCTCTACTCAAAATCAAAGAAATGTTAAATGATCTAAAAAAGTTCTAAAAATAATATTTTTGATGATGTATTATCAACTGTAAGAGGCTGTCAAGAGGTTGCTCAAATGTTTGCATACAATTAATTGAAACATCATCTTATTGAAATTTACGAGCTGCTCACTCTTATTATAGTCAGTGATGTATTAATGGAAAATGAAACATTCGACAGCATGCTTACAAATATGTCTGTATTATTTATTTTCTATTATTTACCAAAAGCATCAAAGACAATACTTTAGATAAAATACAGGTAGTAATAATGAATTGTGAAAGAGGGTCAATTCATTGATTGTGGATCTGGTGAAAGATGAGAATATTGAAATATCTAAAATCAAAAGCTATAAAACAGTAAAACTTGCTCAATGCAGAACATCTATAAAGCATAAATTTGTTCAATGTGAACAGAAACTCTGGTCCTGGCGAACATTTTGCCTTATTTGTATAATGCAGAATATTGTTTAATGAAAAAATGCAGTCCCTTATGATACTGCATTGAGCAAATTTTACTGTACTTTTGTGCCCACAGAGAGCAAAGTTCCTCCATATGTTCATATACTGGATGTATACCAATATTTAATGTAATGAATTGCAATTGTATGACATTTGTTTTTCATCCATGAGTGACTTCAGAACAAAAATACAGATAGTGTCATGGCTTGCTAAAATAGGAAATCATATGTTGCCAATGTTTGATGCCATGGAGCATTTACAACTTGTAAAAAAAAGTTCAAAAATCAATAACCAGAAAGGAATTGAATGTTCTTGAGTGAGGACGTAAATTTGGACCAAGGGTTTTGGGGGCAGAGATGAAAGAGAACGCTTTAGCAGAATTGTGTAATAGAGTGGAGTATTTAAAGTTAAGACATAATGTATTGGCGAAGTGTTAAGTGATGGCAATACTGTGAGAAATTAAATTGACTGAAATATTTGTGAGAGTATCACACATATAACTACTGGATTTAAAAAAGGAATCGTCAGTATGGTACTGGATCTGAACGAAGGTTGTAGGTTGTTTTGAAGTATGAAGAAGACATGTACATATATATTGTTATTTAAAATTGTGAATTTAGCTAGATGTTACATTAATATTATCATTTAAAAGAATATTGTCTAAGTTAATTTTGGATTATGAATAAATGTTAACTTTTATTTTGAATTTGAAAGTGTTTAATATAATAATATTTTCAGTAAAATGCTTTATTCAGTTCTACACTGTATACAATAGGATCCTCAGCCCTGAAAAAATATTAAATAAATATTTTTACATTCTTCCATTACGTAGTCTTAGATTCATTATATTTTTAATTAATGGAAAAAGTAAAAACAAAGACATTATATGAGTTTTTCATAGTGTTCTTACGGTTTTGTCAGTTTAGTTTTGATTTTCCAAAAGAAAACAAGAGAGATTAAATTGCGTTAATCTTTGTTCCAAAGTTCATAATTCTCATTCTTACACAGTAATGTCAACTTTCAAATTACATTCTGAACTTGCAGAAGTAAACCATCAATACCCAAACTTATTTACCACAATCACTTTTCCCCCCCACTTCATATTATTTACATTATCATTACACCCCACTTCATATCATTTACAAAATGCAGACAATAATAATGGCATGAAAAAATGAGCTGAAATTATGCTTATAAAAATCCTTCCCTTTCCATGAAATTGAGCTATTTTTGATATGATCCTAGACAACAGGCAGATAGAAAGGCAGACAAAAATTGTAAAATCAATTGAATGGGATTGAACATCACATAAATAAACATCAAAGTTTATAAAAAGACGGTTATTGTGAAGATCCGGACAGACACATTAGTTTTATTTATATAGATTCTTATTTTGATTTTCAGAGCCATGTTTCTCAAAATATGCTTTTAATTTATTCCATTTTTCATACTTTACATTTATTTTCATTTCTTTCTTATGTGTTTTAATAAAATATTTATTAGTAATAAAACAATGTAATGTAATAAATCAGGAATAATGCAAGGAAATTATTAAAACTTTTTTTTTACCGTACCGAAAGATCGCGGGTTCGAGTCCCGTCTCGGGCATGGTTGAATTGTGTTCGTCCTTTCACCCCCTATCATCCTCCATCTCTCATTATCACCTTTCTTAATAACATTCAGAATTGTAACTCGAGTATTTATCCTCACCTTAAGGTGATACCTTCGACAGTCGACCATAAACAGTAAAAAAGTGAAGTGGAACGACTCAAGTGGTCCAAGGTGGTCAATAAAGTTTAATAATAATAATAATAATAATAATAATAATTAATAAAATTATTAATAATAATAATAATAATAATAATAATAATAATAATAATAATAATAATTAATAAAATTAATAATAATAATTATTATTATTATTATTATTATTATTATTATTATTATTATCATTATCATTATTATAATTATAACGTTAACTTGAGGTCTATATTAAAGCTGAATTTTTATAACAAACATACATATAAAGAAACAATGGAATTTCTGTTGAATTATCATAGAGAGTTAAATATTTTTTGTTTTTCTCTGACCTTCTGTGTTGGTTTAAAAATAGATATATTTTCTGTACGAAAGTGTATGAAAGT